TACAGGGTGGGCCATCTATTGGTACGTTTTTAAAAATGCGATCAAATGAGCATACATTGATATTTTTTATTAATTTTTTTTTTGTTGTGAAGCTAAAATTCAAAAACGTACCAATAGATGGCCCACCCTTTATATATCCATATGTATCTCTATACATATACATATATGGCGAACAAAATTTTTTTCCTTATATGTACTAAAAAACTAAAGTTTAATATACATGTACAATTACACGCATATATATATATATTTACTTGTAATGTTGTATGTATATATTTTAAATATTAATTAATAATATTTATTACATCACTATACGTATCTAATTATTATTAATAACATTATAACATCATTAAATATAAATAATACTACTAAAGCTAGACACGAAAGTTAATTAATAATAGTCAATTATTGATTCAACAAGTATTTTTTCTTATAATTTCCAATTATGTAACAATTAAAGTTGATAGTTTTAAATTCATACTTTTGATATTATTTATGTTGAAAACTCATTCGCGTATTCTACATAGAGATTTCGTTTAAACTTTTAAAGGGCGATATAATCGTTTCAAAAAACTATTCAAGGAACAAAAGCAATGTTTTATACGTAAATGTTTGCTAAATAGATTAATGCTTCTTTCCTTTAGATTCATCGGCGATAAGAGGACGACCCCCCTTGGACGAGAAAGCCCATCGACGAGGGTGCCCATCAGCGAGCGAGTCGATGTCGGGGGTTGGAGACTCGCGTGTTGGTGGCGGTGTACCGTCGACGGCGGGAAAGGGTTACGGGAGACTTCAGGGCGCACGTAAGAATCCACGCGACGCCATGCTCGTCGGTTGAGAGACTCGGCGACTCGGAGGCACGGCACAGAGAGAGAGAGAGAGAGAGAGAGAGAGAGAGAGAGAGAGAGAGAGAGAGAGAGAGAGAATAAGAGAAAGAGAGATAGATAGAGTGAGAGACAGATGCGGTGGCGGCGCTGGTTGAGAGACGGAGAGAGAATGGATCAATACCGTGCGATACACGCCGAAGTAATTTCATTGTCCACTGTTAGCGGCGGCTCACGTGTCGCGTGGCGGCGCGGCGTGGCGCGATGTTGGCGTGGCGTGGCGTGGCGTGGCGTGTGCACGCGGTGGGCCTCGCAATGCTCGTTCCCTCTCGCTTCTTCACCCTTTGTTTTTTCCCTTATACACTCTCTTTCTCTCTTTTTTTCTATTTCTCTCTCTTCCCCCCCCCACCCCTCTTTCTCTCTCTCGCTCGCGCTCTCGCTCTCTCTCCCTCTCTCGTCATCCATCTCTCCCTACTGCCTTTCTTTCGCGTTTCTCTGCCTCGACCACTCTCGATCGCCCTGCTGGTCTGCTCTTACGGGGGTGAAAATAGAACCCTTATGGCGTTCGAGTGATAGCCGTGCGTCGCTACTAGCCGGTATTGATCACCCTTCGCAATCAATGTTAACTACGTCGGGATCTGGTTGAGAAGTGTGATCCTGAAATTCGCTCAGCGTTGTTCAGTGCAAACTATAAGTAAAACTGTTGCGTTTTGTAATATACATATATCAACAGTTAAAAAAGAAATATATATATATTTTTTTATAGGTAAAAATATATACGTAAATATATTGCTTAAAACACATTTTCTTATTTCTTTATTTATTTAAAGCAAATACCAAATACTATATCTATATTTTACAAAATGCGTTACTTCTACATGTATACATATACATATTATATATGAATGATTGAAATTTTTATTAACTTTGAAAACTACAAATGCAAAATGTGAGCTCTAAAAAAAGTATATTATCAAACATATTACGCAGATTTTACATTTTTTAATTCTTGGAGTTAATAAAAATTTCAATCATACATATATATAGAAGAAGCATTTTGTAGAATATGCATATATGTATATAACATTGGTTATTTGCTTTGAATCCAGTAAAGCATATAGGGTGCAAAAGGAAAATTGACATAAAATGTAGACGCGAGCAAAATATATAAAAAAAAAGAAACCAAAATAATATGTCAGAGCAGCTGTCAATTTTTGTTTTTGTCTCTCAGAAAATTTAACGTAATTTTTGTTTACGAGATGTTTGATAAGCGAAAAAGACTTCTTTTCTTATAAGAGAGGAAAAAGACGGGTAAATCTTCCAATTCTGATCCGTTACAAGAATTGCGACCGCTGACTTAGTCATAAATAACATATTTTCGTTATCCGATAAATACTGTTTATAAAGAAAGATTATAAACGAGATATTTATCGTCCTCTGCCCATATCAGTGTGTCTATCAGTGTACGGTAATTTCGTTAATGTATAAATATCTCATGCGAAATGGAATGACTGTCGAAAGTGTGAAACTTTAAATCGATGTTGGTCCCGCAACGCAGAAATTAGCAAGCATCTAATCGAAATTGCACATCTTACAACGCGAAAGGAACGGTAGTTCAACTCGGTGCAGTCGACCCATGAGAAAAAAGGTAGTGGACCGTAAAACTACTTCCACTTTGTTGCGGGTGTTTGCTTGCATAGCGCGAGACTCTCCCGACAACAAGGAGGTGACTCTCACGGGCGATCTTTCACTCTCGGACATTTAGAGCGTTGACTTTCTCCCGTATCGAAACTGTCGATCGTGCGAACCGTGCAGATATGACGAGTAGGGATGTCCACCGATATTGTGATGCTGGAAAGTATTGCAGTCATTATAGTGTTTTCTCATATTTAAAAAATAGTATGTATTGCATAAATATTCAGTTCGCAATGCTACTGTAATTTGCAATACTATACTTTTTAATAGGTCAAGCAACGTTAAGTCCTCTCTTATCTTTCAAAATTCATTCG